GGGGGTGGGGGGGCCGTTGGGAAAACCCCCCCCCCCCCCCCCCCCCCCCCCCCCTCCCCAAACCTTGTCCCACCCACCGCGTCAAATACATCCCATAGACTACAACCGAGCTAGGTACGAACTCGCCGCCATTCGTATCACAGAAGACTCCCAACTCACGTCAAAAAGACCGAGAAAGGACAAGGGGCATCGTTCTCTCTGACCGTTCTCGATCTCTCTATAGTTCGGCCCCCCTTGGCCGTTGCCTTTGGACGTGATAATCGCCGTCACCAACCACCCGCTGCGAACCTCCACCACAAGTCTCGCCAGAACCATTTTTTTTTTTGCATGATTTTGGGTCAGCACTCACAGCCCTTCTGCCTGGTAGGAGCCCCAATCCGTTCTCTCCCCAAGGCCCCCCACCGACCCCTCCTGCGGTGATTGCCTTTTACATCCTTAATTTTATCGATTTTATCGAGTTTTCCTCAAGTTCCTCGTGTTGCGCCGCAAAGTCAGTCGTCCCCACACACCCCCATGGTCATTTCTCCCAGAACTGTCTCGGAGAGGTGTCGAGCTTGCCGGTCAAAGGCACGGCTCCGTCGGCCGTCATGAGGAACGTGTGCTCGAACTGCGCTGTTCTCCTTCCGTCCGCCGTGGCCGCCGTCCACTTGTCTGGCCACATCACGCTCTTGGCTGCGTGCGGGCAAAAACAGCACACACACCGAGATCGGGAGTTACGGGTCAGAGCTTGATCGCGGGTCCTGCCGATACGTAATCGTAGAAAGGCGCGAAATACAGTGCTCTGAGGGCCGTCGTTCTATACAGCAGCTAACCATATTCCGCTTCCAAATTTTCAAATTTCGAAATGCGTAGACCACTGAACCTCGATTTGCGGCCGAGGAAGAAAATTGGAAAATTTGGAAACAGCGGGCACCGAATAAATTGCAACGATTTCGTTCCAAGTTTTTGGAAACAATCTGGAAAGTCGAAATTTGGAAGTATTTGAAAAAGAAAAATCGCTGTGCAATAAAAACGATCCTGAGGAAACACACGCTCCTTTCCTGGGCTGCAAATTGCTGCCATTAGGTTTCAGTGTACTCGACTAGGTTTCAGTGTACTCGCTCTTAACCTGGCTCACAAAACGGTGCTCAGTTTCTTAGCTGACAAGAAGTTATCTTAAGTGCGGACGCTACCTGTCCGGCACGGACTGCTGCTAACCGTGAAGCACTCACTGCCCGGGGCGGCCTACAGTACGCATCGTCTTACCGGTTCCCTCGCAGATCATCGGCTCGATTGTGAACGTGTGCCCCTCCTTCATGATGCCGTTGGACTCGTTGTTCTTGTAGTGGAGGATGTTCGGGTTGGTGTGGAACAGCTTCCCGATGCCGTGCCCACCTGGAGCGAAAAACGTGAGCCAGCGGTGGGCCGGGGTACTCGGTTACAAACGAAAGGCACCACTACGATAAAGGCACGCGCGCGGGGTACTCATGAATGAACCAGGTAGTGGGCTGCTTGAAATCACTGCAGCAGCCGGCATACCGGGAAAACGGGCAGGCGCCTCGCTGGCGAGAGTCGATGATGGCAGAGGAGTAAAGAGGGGCCTCGTGTGGACGACGGGTATAAGTCGATGGGGGGGTTCCGCATCGCCGGCGCCCCCCACACCCGCACAAAGCAGCACGATATATCCGCTTCGCTGATCACACGGACGCGCCCCGCCGGCTCACGCACCTCCAGGCGACTTCGCGCTCCAAAACAGACCCAAAAGGCAATCAACAGCACTTCCCGCCAACAAACTCTTGGGTAAACGGGCTATGAAAAGCGAAACTCACAAAAATTTGGCACGGTAGTGTAGCCCTTTGCGGTGCACAAATTCTCGATCACTCCCCCGATGCCCTTGTAGTGCCGCCCCGGCTTGCAGTACGCGATGGCCTGCTGCCAGATGTCGTACGTGTCCTGCAGCCAGGCGGGCCGAGGGGGGCCACGACGAATCAATGCTTCGCAAGGGGGGACACCGTACTAACAATTTGGCAAATGCTACGGGGAGGCACTATAGGTGGGGTGGGACGGCCTTCGCGAGAATATTATCAAAATAAAAATTATGAAATGAAGAGGGGGGGGGTCGTATCCCATACCGTAACCCTAACCCCGTGCCCCCTACGAAAGCCAAGCTCAATATCCTCCCGAAGGCTTCAGGGTTGGCCGGCGGCCATCATCCACACACACGCAACAAGCACAGGCACATGCAATCAATACCCTCTGAGACACACGCGCACGCAACTTCGAACGGAGCGTTCGCCAGGACTTCCTTTCGTCCTCCCCCCCCCCCCCCCGGGGGGTCTGGGCATAAAACTCCCACACCCCCAAACCA